TATAAATTCAAAGTAAACATCATTACATAAAAGGGTACGGTCCTTTTTTTTGTTTGTTTTATTCATTTCAAACGGGCCGGATCTGGCCTGCGGGCCGTAGTTTGCCCACGGCTGCCCTAGGAGAAATGGGGGCGGTGAGGGGCCTCGGAGCCCAGCCTGGGGCAGGGGGTGGGTTTGGATGGAACGTCCCCAGCATGACTGGGTCAGCACAGTGCACTAAACTCACAGCTCAGGCAAACCGGAGCTGGCCTCCCTCCCTTCACATTCAGAGCAGCAGAAGCGCTGTCCCCAGCCCCTGCTGCCAGGGTGAGGGGGCCTTGCAGGATGCCCAAGGAAAAAGGGCTCTGTAGTGAAACCTCTGGCTTCCTCCCTCCCCAGGCCTCCACCCTCCTCCCCTCACTGGCCCTGGGCTTGGTGGGTCAGCTCCTCCTTTCTCCCCTCTAGTGAGCCCTCAACCCCCAAACCCAGTATAAAGTCCAAAAGGTAAAAACAGGCAGAGCAACGCCCCACCCCCATCCCTAGCCACCTGGTTCCCGCCTCCAGGGCAAACTGCTGACACTTGCAGTCATTCATGCCTTTGAAACATGCAAATAAAATAGTGTGGGGTTGTTTTGTTTTTTTTTTTTTTTTTGGCTTTGTTTAAATTTCCTATAAAAGTGGCAGCTTTGTGAACACACTTCCGCCCTTTCCTTTGCTGAGCTATAGTGATGGGTAGATCATTTCCAACCAGAAAACAGAGCTTCCAGCTTCCTGCTGCAGGTGCACTGTTAGAACAGTGTCTGAGTCACGGTGTGGGAATTCACGAATCAAATGTCCGTCCCCCGAGGACCAAGATCTGGGTAAACTGCTGGGAACGTCTCCAGGGAAAAGGCACCGCAGAGGGTGACTGGGGGAGGCTACACGCTCAGAGGCTGAGTGGCACCCTTCCGGGGTGATTCCTTTCTGATCTCTGCAGATTTGTTAGGTGAAAGAGAAAAGGGCAGCTTTTTCATTTGAATTTAAATTTCTAAGGAGGGAGGAGGGAGCCTGCTCCTGTTCATTTGCATTTCCTTTCCAGGAATATCGATGGTTTTGTGTGGGAGGGCGGGCATTTTCTCTTTGATGTGTAGGAGCTCTTTATTATTAATCTTACTGAGATTGGCCCTTTGTAATACCAGGGGCAAGCGCGTCCTCTCTGGTTCACGGCTTGTTTTTAACATTTTCACCTAGTTGAGTTTTCCAGTCCTGCCTCTAAAGACTTCTGAGTTTGGGGCCATATTTAGAAATGCCTTCACTTTCCCAAGACTCTCTTCTTACCCAAGTTTTCTTCTAGCCTCTGAGCATTTCGTGTTTGGGGTCCTGGTGTAACGGACGAGGAGTTAGTCCCACTCACCACTGTGACATTCCCACACGCCCCGTGCTAACCTGGCAGCTCAGCGAGGCCTGTGTGGCAGCCTTACAAACTCAGACCTGAAGTGACCACAAGGTATGGTCTGAAATTAAGACTTTTTAACTAAAAGCAGTTTACGGTGGGTAGTCATGTCCTGGGCCTGTATTTTCCCTGACAAAGGTCAATCTTGGCCTGAACTGAGCCTACATATTGCCTTTTTGCATCCATGATAACACATGGTTGGAATGTCTAAGTAATGTTTCTTTTTCCAGACCCCCCAAAGCACAGGCGGCCTCTGCAAAGTCCACAAATCCCCTCCTTGTCATTGAGTTCATTGATGCCTGTTAACTGTCCTGCACGCACTTAGTAAAAGAAAGTGTGTCTAACGTTTTACTTTTTATCCAATCCCAGAGGTTCCCCCACTGTGCTTTCTCCCACCCCCTAACCTATGGCCAGTGGAGTTCATGTCACCCCTTCCGCCTCCTCTCTGATGTAATGAATAAAACGAGTGCAACCCGCCACTCCCGGAGCACTATCTCCATCCACTTTGACTTCCCCGCAGTTGTGGAGGGTTTGGCTCAAATAAACGCACGATGTTCTTCACCGGTGGAATGTTTCTAAGTTGACATCACGGAGCCTTTCAGCCTTCATCTGTGTGTTTGGGGGTTTTGGGTTTGGTTTTTTGTGGGGGGTTTTTACACTCACTGGTAGCGCCCTGGTGGAGCGACAGCAGCGGCCCAGCCCTGGAGGCAGAAGTGGGGGCGTCTCCGCCAGAGCCCCTCTGACTCGCGTCGCGTGGGGCCACCCGGCGCCTCCAGGAAGGTTTGGGGCTCTCTGATCCTCCCCTGCCGCCCGCACCTCCCGCGCGGTCTAGTTCGCGCTTGGAATTCCCGCCACATCGCGTCCCGCGAAC